AGTTGAATGAATCATAACTGGACAGTATAGGTCGTAGTGAGCAGTCCTGTTTGTGTGGTTTAGGAATGGAATAGAGTTGTGGTGTGCGTGAATCAGTTTTACGTAGATAAAAATAAAGATCGTCAGTAATAAAATTATCTTTTTTCATTTGTAATAAAGTTCTGTTTAATTGTTTTTCATGTGTGTTTGTTGGGTTGTTTGGGATGGCTTTGAATTTCTTTTTGTCGGAAAGGATGTCGTTCATTTTGTCGATGTATTCTGAATTGTTCATGATGACAGTGGTGTTGTCTTTATCAGCTTTTAGAATTTTAATGTTAGTGTCCTTTTTAAGATTATAAATGGATTTGATCTCGTTACTCGTGAGGTTACTTTTCAGTTTACGGGATTGGTTGACTATATTAACAGTCTTGTTTGAGAATTCTTTGAAAAAGTTATTTAAAATACAGTTTTTGGGAACTTCGGGAAACCACTGATGATGACAAAACCTTGTCGAAACGTTGTACATTTGCTGTTATGTTAAACTTATATTAAAGTTTTTCTTCATTACCCATTCAAGCCATCTCCAGCCATTATTAACAATGGGTTGTCTCTGGATATACTGAAAGTAATTTCCATTGTAACTTATGTTATCTTTTGATATATTTTCAAATTCTAGTTTCAGTACTAATAGCTATAGTTTCAAAACAAAAGTCTTTCTTCTCCAATCTGCTTCTACATGTCCTAATATGCACTTTTGATTATTTACTGTATTTCTTTCCAATGAACTCTATACCAAGTCTAAAACCTCCAATACGTTACTTTACCTATATATGGAAGGGAAGTTAGAATCCTAACACATAAAATTAGAGGATTTCAAGAAGAAACATCCTCCTTAAGAGAATTACACGTGGGCTAACTATTGTTCCTAACAATCAACCAAGGATGCAAAAGTTTGAAAATGTCAAGTTTCATCTCACATACACTCTCATTATAGAGAATTGGGCTTGACCAATAAGAAACCTAACGAGAAGTTTTTCCTGATTGATTATAAAAAAAAAGTATTCTCCAAGGAGACAGAAAATGGAAAATCCACAACATAAGATGCCAAAAGCAGTCACTCTTCTGATGTACAAGAAGCTATTACATTGTTTTCAAGTGGTGAACAACTGCTGGATCCAACATTATCAATCTTTTTAACCAATTCTATCACACCAGATTCTGGGGTACAATGTTAACTTGCTGTAGTAACTAAAGAATATAAATATCAAACTGACATTCTGTTGAATCTTGTAACTACTATTTAAAAAGTATTGTCTATAACTCATGAGAGATAAGACTGCTTCATATTGTGTTGGAGGCTAATAAATGACAATGCAAGTTGCAACATATTCTCAGTATTATACTGAATGAAAAGAAAGTTATGTTCATATGATACAAGTTATGTAGTACCCCTGTTTATCATAATAAGCCTACACAGTATATACTTTCCTTGTAAAACAAGTTTATACCAGTCAAATACATTTCTTCACCAGACTGTAAAATATTCCAGGGCCAAAGTATAATTTTCATGGACTTAATTTACAGATTTTAACAGGACATGACCTATACTAAAATTAAATAACTAATGTTTTATTATATTTTAGAAAAAATAGCTATATAAAACATTCTACCAGTAACAAGTAGTGAAATGAAAGTAAAAAATATGAAATGTTAACTTTTACCTCATTTTCTGTGAATATTTTTCATCACTCAAGATCATATTTCTTGGTGTTCTAAATGCCAATTAGAGTGAGTGTGAATATCCAGCCATGCTGAATGTAATTTGCACTTCCTTGCCATATGTAAACATTTCATGACAAGTAATAAAAATGTTATATAGAAAAGTAGAGATGTTTTTATAATTTAAATAAACATAAAAATGTAAAAAATTCCTCTAGCATGTAACCAAAATAAAATAAAATTTATTGAATATATTATTTCAACTTGCCAGTACGATAGAAAGCCAACTTACACCTGATTGGCTGTTGAACATACATCGTGACATAATACCAAGCCAATCAAGCTTAGATTCACACTTATACTATTACCAAGACAGTGTTTAATGCATTCAAAAAGTTATATATCTTGTGGTTTTCCACACAACTGCATACAATTATTTGTAAAATGTTTCCTTAGTTCTCTACTGCAAATTTTTTTTAAAGAACTGTGACCCTTTTGAGGCAATAAAACTCTTATATTTCAATCTGGTGTTCTGCCTGTAAGTTTCTTATATGATAACACAAACATTTACATATCATATCTAAAACTATTCTGAATAATTTCTAACTGTTGTCAAATGTTATCACAGGGTATATTTATTACAAGTAAAATCATGAATTAGTTTAGATTTGAAAGAAAAACTAATAATAACACAAAAAGTTTGTTTGTTGTTGAGCATAGCTACACAATGGGCTATCTGTGATGTGCCCAACAATGGTCCTTTAACATTATGAGCCTTTAGATTTAATGCTGAGACACTGGAGGGGAACACAAAAGGAAGAAATAACATTAACAATATCTATAACAATCTGTATTTACAGTCCTGGTTGTCCCTAAGAAGCAGAAGGTTGTCCCCAAAATATTTCAGCCTAGATCCATCTGTATATAAATAAGAGGTGACTTAATCAGGCATAAGCTGATAGACTGTCTTTAATGGCAAATATTTTACTATTTCATGCATTGTATTATACTGTTGCCATTCGGACTTGCACTTCTTTTATTTTAGTAAACAGTTCTGGGCAATAACTGATAAAGAACTTAGGCTAGAAAGATTGTTAATCATATAATTCTGAAATGTCCATCTTCTTTAGCACATCAACAGTTTTATGATTTTAAATAACCTGGATCTAGATTTAAAGCTTCCACTTTGGCCAAAGGTGAAAGAAATTCTTGAACTTAAGAGGTAACTGTTTAACAAGTCTGCAACAGAAAAAAAAATCAGTGACCAGCAGAAATGAATGTTTGCACTTGCTACTGTTCCAGATTTTCTTCAAAAATCCCAAATACACTACACATTAGTTTGGCAAATTTTAAGACTACTGGGGCTGGTAGAAAGTTACCTACATTACTTGTACCCCTAGAGAAAAATCATCAACAAGTGTGATTTCTAACACCCTAATCTGACTTGAAAATAATTAAAACAAATATTCTATAAATAGTAAAGCTGAGTTTAACTGAGAACATCCCAAAGAACATAGCAAAATGATGGTGAAAGCAAAGGACTAATCCTAATTTCCAGGAAGTTAAAAACATGCAAATAGATGTTCTGTAAAAAAATAAGTCACGCATAACAGCAAACCAGTTTCTGTTGTAGTATAGTCCCCTGAGCCACGAGTCCCACATGAACAACATGGTGAAGACAACAAAGCTTTATACACTACAATAATATGCCATCTTTATAAAAGGGATAATCTAGTTGATTTGTTTTCAATACATAACATTTCAATCAGATATGTTACATTAGGAGATTTTCTTACATTAATATTAAATTAACAAAGATATAAACTGAGAAAGACAATGCACACACAAACTTCTTTAGAAATATCTCCCAGTTTTTTATAAAACTAATCAAAGTTGTGAGTAAATGCAATCACAATTCACAGTTTTCCTTTATATTCCTCACTTTTTACCACATATTATAAATCTGAATTAGCCAATCAAATTAAAAAAATTAATTACAATTCTGCCAATTCATGTCAGACCTAATTATCCTCAATAACAGCTGATATTTTCAGTGCATGTGTTGGTCAAATTTATTTACATTAATTTTGTTCTGTGATAAACAAGATTAGCTTCACATAAAGTTTTATTAACCTACAAAATAAATTTTCTTTCATGAAAATTGAAAGCAAAAAGTAATATACCATGTCCAAAAAATCATTTTCAAGCTGTCCCGATTCATCAATATTTCCAAACAAAAAGCCAGTCAGAGACAATGGTTCATTCTCTCCCTCTTCATCACTATCCATGGTTTCTAAAATAAGCAGATAAATAGTTGTAATCAACCAGTTTGAGAGTAATAATTATCCCAAATGAAAACCTGAATAAACAAATAAGCTTCGCTCCTCTGTTAACTTCAGTAATGGGAATGAAAGCTTTTATAAATTGAAAAATATCATAAATGTAGTTATTAAAATTAAAATGCTAAAAGTTTGTCATTTTGAAATATCAAATTAAGGTTTATTTAATATACAATAACTATGAATATTAGATAAGGATGAAAAAATCAATTAATGACACAAAGATAATCAACTAGTGTTTCCAATTATTACCATTTCAATTCATCCAACTATCTAGTATTTGAAATCACAATTAAATAATTTGGTTAATTTCATGAAAATAATCAAATAATTCATATTATTGTTTGATTATTCCAACTACCAAGCACTTCAAATTACAATGAAATTGATTAATGTGACAAAAATAAGCAACTAATTAAAATTAGTGTTTTCTGAGTACTCCAACTCAACTATCCAGTAATTGACATATAGTCATTATGATTTTTCATTGTTACTTTTGATTAATTGAAGTCTATTCAACTTAATAGATTAGCATCTCAATTCATGAAAATAGTCAACTAATCAAAATTAGGGTTTTTGATAATTATTTTCAATTATTCCAACTATCCAAGTAATCTAAATATTGGCATTATGTTATCTTTTACCCATCTTGGCAAAACAGTACATTAATATTTCTTTCCTTTCCATCTCACGATAATAATTAATGAGTTGAATGTAATCAATTACCAAGTCTGATGATTAACCAATTAGCAAATTCCACTAATTGTGCAACTCTAGACAGAATTTCCTATATTTTCTAATATCATGTACATAGTGAGCTACATTTTATAACAATGTTTAGGGACAACAAGGGACCTACTGGTCCATCTAGGCTATCCAATCCTTTAAACTAAAACTATTAAATAAAAAACACTCAAAGTCAGCCCTTATAATTCATATAGTTATCAAGCTTTCTCTTAAACTCACTTAAATTTACTGCCTCCCCAATATCCAATGGCAACCCATTCCAGAGGTCAACCACCCTGTTAGAAAAAATAAAACTGTTTTAGCTGAAGATGACTCCCACCTTGCTAAAATTTACATTCGTCTCTCTTTGTCCTACTATTCTTGCCGATAAGTATGAAAAAAAATGATGCATCAACACTATCAATTCCCTTTACAATTTTAAATACCTCAATCAGATCCCCTGTAACACTTTTTTTTTTAGAACAATTTTGGAGATCTTCTAGCTCATAGCTCCATCTACTGACCAATATTAGATCTAAACACAGCTACGTTTATTGAGGATTCCTTCTTGTTTTAATATAACATTGTTTAGTAATTAAACCTACATAATAATAAATCATTAATGTCAACTATATGTTATGTTTCATACTTATTCAACCATAACACTTCTGTCTTGCTCACTAGGCATTCTGTACAATTTTCTGAAGAAATAGAGCCACTCCCATCCTAAATCATGATGGTTTGCTCCAATGCACAGGGGTTGCTAGGTGTAGATTTGATGGTGTGTGTGTATGTTTTTTTTTACAACACAACAACATTTTTTAAGTAATTTAAATACGAGTCAGAGTATGTAATTTATATTCTAACATTTCATGGTAATCAGTTCATGTTGATGAATGATCATAAAACACAACAGCTGATTCTTTTACTTATTTTATGGAACATAAAAGCAATATAAACATATTAGTGGCATAACCAGTTCTCAAAGGGCCCTGACAAGAATTTTGAAATCAATGGAACACATAATGTTAAAACATAAAATACTCAGTTACACAGCTATAAGTAGAAAAACCATGAAAAAATTTTGAAGTATGAATTTCAATTACAAAATACGATTAATGCAATTAGGTGGTGACAAACGAGTCAACATTTGGTTGTAGTTGTAGCATTAGCATAAAATTCATGAACAGTATTTCCTACATTTACATTAAGTATTTAACCATCTTCTCTGTAACAGCACATGAAGCACGAGATTAAAATGAGTATTCATATTTTGTTTGCAAGAAAGAAAATTCACCTTTTTTTTTTCTTGCAACCTTGCACTGTTCATTGATATTTTTTGCCTAATGGTAACATCATTTCAACATGAAAAGCTCATCGTGATATACCTTTCTTAAATTGTATTTTAAAAGAAATATTATCCAATCCTTGAAAATCAAAGTTCATAAAGTGGTATATAAAATTTATAAAGCTTGTAAGTTTTTGTTATGTTACATTGATTACTTGTAAAAAAAATAACATATTCCCCAAATAACTTACGCTACAATGCTATATACTTTTCCTGAGGACTAGCCTGGTTACAACTTATAAGTTATAAGGATTTCGAAATTAGCTATTTAACTTCAAGTTTAAGTACTAACTCCCAAAGCTAGGTGACGTGGTGAACTGCGCCATGTTTATAACAAATTAATATGAATAATAATATCATCATTAGAATACTGTAACAATCTGATCAACTGAATTAGTCCTATTGTTAATACTAATAGCACTAATGCAGTTGGTCAGATTGTCATGGTAACACTAACATGAGTGAGACTCTTACTATTAATATTAGTAAAAGTCTTACTAACTCTTAGACTTTCACTGCCAGAAAGTTATTCATCTGAATCTAAACTGTAGAATATTACTACTATTCTAAAGTTTTAGTTCAAATTAAAAACCTTCTCAAATAAAAGTCACACCCGTGTTAGCGTTAGTCCAAAATTCAGGATTTACTTCTATTAATCTTTTGTATTATTTAATTACCTGATCTAGGTCTCGGTATTAACCGATCAGTTCTTTACCATTATCGGTCTTACTTCTTGCGCCCCCTCTTGACGTTTGTAAAATATACCTTTACGTTTGACTTTTATTCTGAAAGAAAAAATATGCAGTTACAGTATGAATATACATCTAAAGCTTAAAGCATTTCAATCACTTCAATTCTGCGATCGAAAGGTTCTCTTTTTGTTCTTTTTTAGAATTTATAGTGCATATTGGAGGGATTTAGTCATTTCGGAAATAAATCTAGGATAAAAAAATGTTAATCTACAGATAATAATAATAATGAAACTTTTTTACTTTGGTCAACGTTTCATCATTTTGTTTTCATCAAAATCAGTAGCCTTGATGAAGCCGTGATGGCGAAATGTTGGCTGAAATAAAAAATAATTTGGCAGGTTGGGTTGGTTTCAGAAAATGTTTATTCTGGAGAATACAAATATAAGAAACCTCTTCAAGCAGTGTTTCCAGAAGTGGTTTGTTGGTGAAAAATGAGCGGACATTTACAAATAAAAAGTCAACATGAGGTGTCGAAATAGTCTTGGCCAG